TKWWYTACTACYASTAGTAGTAGAGACAATGTAGGAATACCAGTTGTTACTGCTGCTGAAAGAGTTCAGAGGGGACATCTTTTAGTACTGCMTTCAACAAGTCTCTTATGGTATTTGTTGTTCCCTCCTGTACCACACACGTGTGCTTTCATATGGTGGAGACATCACCTGCTGGGCAACTGATTGGATTTACACCAGTAGTTTTGTATCTTCTCCAATTCCTTGTGATAGTAGTCTTTGTTGTTACCTTAGTGTAGGTTGATGTTCGTACTTTAATTAGAGCTCGCTCGTTTTGCAAAAATCAGGCACTCCTCTCAAATCGAGCTTCCTTTCTGCTGCAAAAGACTGTGAGCAATTACAAGTCTCTACAAAATCCATTAGCAATCACATCATTTCTACTATTACAGCACAAATTTGAATGCGTATAGTAATCGTTATGATGCATCCACTTCACCTTGAATACTTAAGTGGAGTACTGAACATGTTTTAAAAGTCGAATATGTTGAAAATAATTGAGATCACATAGGTTTTCTCAAAGCGGTATCGCTAGAATATTGTGCAAATTTGGTTGCACCTTTTCGTGATTTTTAACAAATGTTTTGCTGACTGCGTTTTTGTAGCTGTCTTTTTTGTTCCTCGGCTCCAAATTAAGCTTCGTCGCCCAATCCCTCTCCATCTTTAGATGGATCCGGGTTGTGCTCGACTTCTACATCGACCTCGTAATCAATTTCTTCCCATAGGCGTTCTTTCAGGTACATTTCTAAGACTGACATTTCCAACTCGGCTTGTTGAACCAATTCTTCAACCTGCCCGCACTGGCACAATTCCTCTACCATTTCGGGATCGTCTGGGTTTTCTGTCGCAATTTTGATGCGGTAGTTCGAAATATTTTCCAAATCTACTCGATATTGTGCATTTTCAGGGAGATCGCTAGCAGCCATACGATCCAAAAGCGCTTGGTATGCACTGATAATATTAGATACGGCGTCAGGATCCGCTGGGAGGCCAACCTATCAAAATTTTACAAGAGCATTCAGTTCCATCATTGCATTCAACAGAGGAGCAAAATGTGAACGAGGCAAGGAGGCATCGAAGGTGAGAAACGCTTTCATGATTCGCTTCGTGTCTCTTTTGCGTAGGGATGGAAAGAAGATTAGTATCCAAATCACAAAGAAAAAGGACGTACGATACCAGTTGATGTCTTGCCAGCGCCGACACCAGGAACGACCTCGGCGGTCGAGAAGGCGGCACACGACGTGCGGGCAAATTGCGATCCCCTCGCTGTCTGCAATGATGCCACTCGCTTGGCCGTCGTTGACGCGATTCGGGAGAACATGGTATTAGGAGCACTTTGGAGCTGATAGAAGTTTTCCTGCGGTAGAGATTAGTTTGCTGAACTGTTTGAGTTGGTGATACTCGACTTCGAAGTAACCCCTCAAAATGTCGTTGTTGCTGTACGGCTCGTACCGTACGGTACGATACAACCGCACGATACGAGCCGACCTGTGCTGGGTCGGACGGTCTGCTGCGTCAACTGTCTAATCATTCATCATTGCGCGAAATTGCGCGATTTGCGCGTCTCCAAAACATCCTGTACTTTGTACTTTACCACCAGTACGAACGTTGGATATGTAGTTACGTACATACGTCCGTCCGTACGTACCTCACAAAAGAAAAAAGACAAAAGATAGGCTAAAAACCAAAAACGCAAGAACCTACCTTACGTACCGTACGGTTCATACGTACCCATATCGTACTTGTACAGAACAAAACTAGAACTACGTACAAGTACGTACGAGTACGTACACTTCCGTCCTTTATCGGAATAATTTTCTCCATCAGCGATCCGGGAAGGAACGAAATCAAAATCATTTCGGCGGTTCAAACAAAAATCTAGAAAGAGTTCGATTCGATCATGCTGGATGCAGCGGAATGCAGGAAAATTCTTCGTCCCATCGGCTAGAGTTACACCTGTCCTAAAGGAACTGCGTCGAAAGAGAGAATATTGTGAAATCTCGACGGCTGACATCTATGTGAACGATTCGATGAGTTGTATTTGAGACGTATCTATCCGTCACTTTGGGTTTTATTTGTTCGTCGACTACCAAGTGTATCAACACCAATARGTTCGTCGATACATTCTCAGCCTTCTTCCCTACCAAGTCACAAAAAAGAACTAAAGAGCGCCATGACAAACGTAAAAGATTCCGATGCACTCGACCCTCTGGTCCGTCACTCCACATCAACGAAGGGAGAAATGGGTAGGAACAGGCAGCACGATACCACAACACTATCTTTGATTGTTGCGACTAACAATATYGTMTTGGGAAAAACGGGAACGAATTKAGGTATAAACCAAAGAAATCCTTGCCCATACTTACTTCCAAGATCTTCAAAAGAGTTTGAGAGGAGAAGGAYGCAACGGTCAAATTTTGGGTTCTGTGGCAGATGCAGATGGTCCTAAAAACAACGATAGCGTSTTCGTTTGAAAATAATTCGTATCCCAGGCGTCATTCATTGAAGGAGATGTGACAAATTTTGATCAGAATTGCCTTCGTTAAGTTGTAACCAAGAATTGATGAWAAATGTTTATTCGTGAAATTTTATCTAGCTGTACTATGGAGGTCTTGAAAATATGGCACCGTAACGTTTCTTCGCCCTTCTTCTTCTTCTTTGTTGTTCTAAGCTTCAAATTTTACTGTACAACAAAACCAGAACGAGATCTTCCAATTCCATCAGATGCAATATTGTTGTTCGTGCTGACACTGTTGTTGTGCGATACCGACCCCAAACGCGGCAGTTCTAATTGAAAGGTTCCATTTGATACAAGATCTGATTCTTGCAAARTGATCAAAGCATTGTCMGGATTGATAACACTAATGCCTGTCAACGTATTGCTCGAAATATTACAGTCATTAATTGTAACATGTCCTTGTTCCATATATATGCCTAAAGGAATCAATATCGTAAGTATTATATCTCGAATAGAAGGTTGGCGAAATGTTGCATACCATGAATATAATGTTTGACTTACCAGAATGCCCAGGAGCGATTCCGCGACGATTTCTTTTGTTCCCTTTCCCATTAAAAAGAACATCTGTTTGTTCCAACGTAGCGCGACTTCCTGATCCTCCAATATAGATACCAGTGGCTGCACAATCGTGAACGAAACTATTTGTGATCTTCAAGTAGCCGCCATCAATACTTACAACACCTCTTCCAGAAGATGATGTAACGTCCACACGATCCAAGAACGCCGTGGGAGCTGGTACATCGATTGGATCTTCGTTTGGTCCAAGTGGAGGCTGAATCTGGATTGCTGCATTTCCATTCCATATGTCTGAGGGTCGTACGATGATTGTGAAGTTAAAAATCAAAAACAAAGAAAGTAATGAGTATCGTACGATGACGAAGTCTTTCATATTTTTTGTTTCGTTTTGATCGTCTAGGTGCAAAGCAATCAAGAACTCACCATTCCCATAGCTACCGTGCCTCAAATCAACATTTCGGATAACACAGTGGCCTTGGCGAATGCGGAGCAGTGGCTCGTTATGCCGCCGTGTTGTCAAAACTAAGGTTGCCCTGTTGAGAACAGGCTTATTGCTGTTGTATTTTTCACTATCGTTTCTATTGTCAGTCGTGCCCCCTTGCACTGTCGGGGTACCCATCGGTATGCCATCCTCTCCATCGGTACGACTAAGCGCTAATRATCGCCCGTCGGMAACTGAGGATGGGTTGTTGAGATATTCGTGCAAGCTTTCGTGATCAAGAATGTCTTCTTCTTCGTCCTCGGTCTCAACATCCACAGTACGGCATTGAAAAAAGGTTCGAATCGAACTTTTGCGTTTCCGTTTTGATTTATTAGACGATGAACGAATTGAAAAGCTACAGCAATTGTTATCGCCACTGCGACAATTTTCTGGGATRTATTCCATCGTTTCGATTGTGATGCTCGTAGGAGACCTATTTCCGCCGTTGTCATTGTTTCTAGCAGTAGTGCCCTCATCGATTGTAATAGCTTCTCGCAAAACGTAACGACCCGGACGAAGAAGAACTCGAACTGCGCTGGGTTCGTAGGGATCATCGCCTGCCTTTSCGACCGTATCATCGATGGCTCGGTGGATGGTGGAATAATCGATGGGAACACATGGATTGTACTCGTAGTATTTTTTCCAGGATTTTGGTGTCTCGTCTCCGTCTTTCCACTGAAACAACGAATCAATATGTGGTGAGACCAAAGCTCCAACAGGCTTTTTATCGCTCTGTAGTCTTGTRTTYCGCTCATGTATACGACGTACCTTATAGAGTTCTTCGCAAAGTAATCTCCACGTCGATTCTTGTTGCATGACCTGTCGCCAGAACCGATTGGTACGTTCGATGACGGCGATCTTTTGCGGCCCAGAAAACGCCAAAATCAATGGGAGTACATCTTTTGGGCAGTCTGTTTCCATCCACTGGAAAATGTTTTTTTGATCTGACGAATGCGCTAAAGACAAAAAATCTGGTAAAGAACCAATGCGATTKGGGCAGTACGTCGCCATATGTTTRATGCTGTCTCGATTATCGCTTTTGTTGTTCCCTTTCGTCTTCCTGCATTGCGAATGACTATCAGTAGTACTATTCGATGAACGAGAGATAGTAGTGAGAGAGGGAGCAGAATACGAAGATGTCATTGAATCTGTACCGTTGCTGTCTGTTCGGTTTCGATTGTTGCAAATATGATTGTTGTCGCGGTTTGTGTTGTTAAAGGAACCGTTAGCTTGAAAGCGTCGTATGGAAAGTGCCCATCGTTTGAACAAGCCCAATTTTTTGCGATCCCGTGGCAATGGCCGGGATTCGGCAATTTGAGAAGCGGTCTGAAACTGGAGTGACATGACGTGATTACTGAGGAGTATCGGACTGCAGGCTCTTTCCGCTGTTATAGTTGTGTCGTGTGACTACACACAGGACTGCTATCAGAAGTTTTTCAATTAAAGAAGCGCACCTTTGCAGCAGTGAGCGTGCCAATCAGGTTTGGACGGTTTTTCCGTTTGAGAATTTTTTTAAAATGTGTGTGTGAATAGTGACTATCGGTCGAGATGAAGAAGTGGGATTTGTTTACTTTTCGGAGTTGAGATAGGAAAAGGTTTTGATTGTGAGTGCTACTACAATGTACGGCATCGACATTCAATCGGATTGAGTTGGTTGATTCGTCATATGAAAATGTTCCCCAATTTTTTCCGCCTCAACAACGATGATAATATTGCCATCAACCATTGCCACAGCGTTTTTGTCTTGTAGGTCTTCCAATGACCAACATACACTTCTCACCTTGTTGTAAATTGTAAATTCTTATTAAAAGTTCTTTATTCTGTTCAATATGAAAACTTATTTTAATTGTGATTGAGAATAGTGGAGAGAAGCGGTCAGCCACGAGTGTGTCGTCGATGGTGTAAGCGCCGATCAAGTCTGAAGCAATGCAGAACTGCTTCAAGCGGAAGAATTTCTTTTCGATTTGTTGATCTCTCTACCGTAGCTGATGTAGAGTGTGACATCATTCATTCGAATGTCGAAAGAACTTAACTTTCCGAGATGTTTGATTTTCTAAGTACGGACTCGAACGGATAGAAACGCGAACATGAAAAACAATAGTAATAGTGACGTATAAAATACGATTGTTRTTGGCGCGCGCTTATTTTCAATCCTACCAGTTGGAATACTCTAGTTATCACCGCTCGTGTAACGTTTTTCTATGTCATATTAACGGCTCAGGTTTAAGGGAGATCGCGAATACTTAGTGCCATACGATACCCGTAAAAGAGAATCACATCTGTTCAAAACTTGAATCCCGACCAAGGGGCTATTATGAAGTCTTACGAATTACTGGTACTTCTGTAGTACATGCCAAGTTCAATGTTTCGTTGAGGAAGAGAAACGAAAATGTAAATTTGTTCAAAACGTCATAAGATAAAGGTCCGGAAGTTTTCGGAAGGACGGAAACGAAAAAATATTCTTCCGATTTTACCAAGGAACAATGAAACCCGCCGAAAATGCCAAAAAATATGTTTTTAAATGACGGATGAAGGGCGCACAAAATACTCTGATACTAATGGAATGTACAGTACCACGTAACGGTAGGTACTAGAGCTACTAGTACTAAAGGCAAACCCCATGCTGGCAAGTTATTGACAATTCTTGTACAAGCACTAGTAGAAATTTTTAGCTCATTATTACAGGTAAAACCCATTATTCTACCTGATTCCAGTTTGATAACATTGATTGATTGACTTCTTGAAGAACATAGTACAGTTGGTTGTTGAGTACTATCAACCATAATATCAGTGGTAACAATAACAACCATGGCTCCAAAMGGTGAACAAGGCAATGAGAATCCAGAGCAAAGGCAAACAGATATCACTTGAGAGTATCCGCAAATGCAATGACTGTACTAGTTGCTGTTTTGCTTGAGTGTAGGAGGATCCGCACTTGAGTATCCTTGTATCTGCAAACCCAAATAGATCTGCACTTGAGTATCCTCATATCCGCAAACACAAATAGTAGTAGTGTTGAATGTTCCACACACTTGAGTATCAGACAGTTAATTGCCATTTTTCTTGAGTATCTGCAAACGCAACAACTGTTTGCTTGAGTATCAAATTGTCTGCATGCCAGCTCCTTGAGTATTCGCAAATGCAAATTGTTGTTTGAGTAGTATGAATCATCTGCACACCAGCTCCTTGAGTATCCGCAAACACAAATCACTTGAGTATCCGCAAAGGCAAAGGCAAAGGCAAAGGCAAAGGCAGAGGCAAAGGCAAAGGCAAATCATTTCAGTATCAAATTGTCCACACATCAGCTCCTTGAGTATTTGCAAATGCAAATTTCTTGAGTATGAATCGTCTGCATGCCAGCTCCTTGAGTATCCGCAAACACAAATCACTTGAGTACTATACTMAAACACAATGACTATTCGCTTGACTATGGATGATACACATGCCAGTCCCTTGAGTATGGAGGAAAACTTCAGTATTTTGCTTGAGTATCAAATTGTCTACACACCAGCTCCTTTGGTATCTRCAAACACAACAAGCAACCATTTGCTTGAGTATGAGACAGATGACCGTCATTTTGCTTTAGTATAGGAAGCGTCCGCATGCCAGCTCCTTGAGTATCCACAAAAGCAAACGCAAATTGCTTGAGTATGAATCAATGCTTCTGGATGAGGTTTTTTGATATGTTTTCTTTGTTTTGGTTGAGAGAAGAGGTGCAGCATTGGATGGTGGAGGTATTCCAGTACAGAATCCACTTTACAAAAACAAGAATGTACAGTGTGCAGGATTTGTACCATGGTACTGTAATGTGCAGGGGGTACATGCCAATGGCAGGTAAGCCAGCCAGCCCTGGAGGTTCCAAATTGCCAAGAACTTGCCAGCATGGGGCTTGTTGTCTTTAGTTGCTCTAGTAGGTACTACTCATATTGATATCGTGTTGGTACCACAAGTAAGATTTGAACTAGCAGATATGAAAAAAGTCAACTTTAAAAAATCTCAATAACATCCACCATGAAAGTGGGTCATTCCTCCCATTATTCTAGAATGCTCAATTGCTATATTTAGCTATTTAGAATAACAGGAATCAAAATTTCAAAGGACAGACTGGTGAGAGGAAGAACAAGGCTGCCTTTGTTGCAGTCTTTTTAGGAATTTGGAATCTCAACTATACTCCAATGTAATGACTAAATAATGGAGTGCTTCACTTTGGGGGGCCTTTCTGTTTTTGGGGCAGCTTGCCTGGTTCATAGTATTTCATGTAGGCTTGTTGGCCAATCTGGTACCGGAAAGGTATTCTCTTAGCATTCTCTCTTCTTAGATTCTCATCTATCAGGTGCTGTCATTTGTCCCTAATGATGTTCAAGAAGTCTGCAATGAGTGGAATGTCAAGTACCATGTAATGATTGTAGACCAGAGCTCCAGGTGAAGTCTTCACTGCAGCATTCACTGCACATCTGGTAGCATGCATTGCAGAGGCAAGCGYGTTGTCAATCAGTTGGTCTTCATCAAATTCAGCTTCTTCTAGTGGTTTTGTGTGAAGGGTAGCTCGTAGAACATTGGCAATAGTCTGATGGACTCTCTCGCATACTGCATTTGCCTAAGGATTCTTCACTGTAGTAGTTTGGATACTCTTTATTCCATATTGATTCAATAGCTGCTTAAAGGACGTTCCAATGAATTCCTTACCATTATCATGATAGCATCTGTTGGGCCTGGGGTATCGTGACAGCCAACAGTTGGAAAATTGCTCAGCAACATACTCACTTGACTTGTTGTTAATTCCTTGAAATTCACCACTGTTCCTTTATTCTGCTCATATATTTTATTTTCTTTATCCCTGACAGTGCACTGATCCATTCTGGGCACTCGTGAAAAACAATCAGCAAGAACATTCTGCTTGCCTGGAATGTATACCCAGGTAAGAATATCAAATCCTTCAAGGGACAGTTTCCGTCTGAGAACCCRGGACTGTGAGGGGGTCTGGAAAATAAGGTTCTTATCATCAGTATAAATGTGCAGATTTCAATCCCATTTGTAGTCTGAATCAGACACATAGTACTTCCACTATCCAACAGAACTTTGAAGGTATTCATTGTTGGTAGGTCTTGGATTGTTTTGCAAACAAGTATGACTGTTGGAGGCAAATCTGGGTTCAGAGCTCTTAAGGTGACTGCTGTAGGATTCTTAAGGGCGTCTTCATTATCAAGGCCAAAGAATTAAAGAATCTTTTCTGATGAGTGAGTGGATGGTGGTGTCAGAGGTAATGCAAAGAAAGTCTCTTTCTTCACTTGTACTGCCTCCTGCTGTTGTCACCATTAATGATTGAGTCCGTGGAACCTAACTGTTGAGCCGGCATTGCTGTTGGATTGTAGAGAGACATGGCTAGGAGGACCTCCACTTGAACTGGACCCATTCTGAGCTTGTGTAAGTTGATAAGTCTGGGGTTGACATGAAGGCTGTTGTTGGATTTGAGTTAGCTGGCCACGTTCGTCAAGGGTATACTAGGTACCTGGCTTGTAAGTCTTATTGCTTGAAACTGAGTTTGAGCCTCCACCGTTGCTGTTGTTTTTCCTTCGATTGTCTCCCTGATAGTTGTTGCMTTTCTTGTTGAAAGGACATTCTCCCCAAGTGTGCTCCCCATTGTGCTTCCTGCAGGGCTTTGCATTGATCTTCTTCTGTCTTTCATCTTCATTGCCAGTTCCAGCATTGTCATTGCTTCTTCTTTGTTTCTTTCCATTCCTAGGCCTGTCTGGTGAATCCTTTGCTGCTCTTTTCCTAGATTGATTGTGTTGTTGCTCCTTGTCTGCTATTCCTTTCTGGTCTGTCATGTACTGCACAATCTGCTCAATGGTGTCATTAAGGATGTCTCTTCCACAGCGGATGTAATCATTCTGCCAAGACTTGGGGAAGGACCTGAAAAGAATCTGCTTGATCTCTCTGTCTGATAGCGGTTGTCNAAAACAGTAGTAAGATAGTCTTAAGAGCGCTCTTTAACTAAGATTGGGGCCTTGCCTAGCCTGGCGCGCCCCCACTCCTGCCCGGATTACACGTCCCGTAAGGCCTCGAGCCATGAGCAGTACAGGGGAGCCTAATCCGTTGTGGTATGCGGATCTTTTCGCGGATCCAGCAGCCAACCCCTTTGGCACTGATGCGAGTCGACGACATAGTGCTTACGCAGGAATCTATCGACGATTCGCCTCGCATCCCAATCCGCTCTCAGCCAGCGAGGTGCTGGGGGAGGTCCTCAACCTCTTTGAGGCAGAAGCGGTTGGTGGAGTAGGAATCTTCGTAAACGACGAGAGCTCAGTACCACGGCTACGAGTTATTCATGGCATAAGGAAGTATCCTGGGAACCTACTGGCCCCCTCTAGAAATGCCAACAAATTCTTCGGTTACCTCGACGATGTCGTCTCTGGGAGAGGGGAGTTAGTGCAAGTAACCACAAGTATGTTTACCCTTATCCCCAACAGACGCCGAGTGTATACTCCCCTACATCATCGACTGTTCTTAGAGGCCCATCCGGATATGAGCTTCATCAGTCCTATTCCTGATGGGGGTGGGCCGGGTACCATCGAAGAACTCCGGTGCCGCCACACCTTCTTCATCCCTTTCGAACTAATGCCATTTGTTCTTAGCAAAAGGCTCACGCCCCGCGAGGCGTACGCCATCATACAGCCCTGGCTAGAACACGAGGGTCTAGAGACAATTGCTGGGCCCCTACTGGATTCCCTACGCGTTGCCGGTACTAACGCCTCCACAGAAGATAACCAAACAGTTTGCGAAATAGCGGCAAACGAGCCAGGACCACTATTCCGAG